AAATATATTACAAATTTAGTGACCAACTTGTAATCTTTATTATTGTTAGGGACTAGAGTGCAAGCCTTTTATTCTTGTATATATTTCTTTGTTTACATTAAAGAAAATAATTTTCCCCCCAAAATCGCGACTTCATAGATGTGCTAGATCCAATGATTCATTTAGTTGATCCCAGGTTAATTGATAAAAAGGTTTAGTTATTTCTTCTTGTTGAAGTTGTTCTTGTAACAACTTCTAGCAAGATTTTATCCAGTAGGGCAATGATTAAAGTTCAACAATGTCGAACTTAAGCTTGATGATTTCTCCAATATTAATTTACAATGAACTGTTAAAAAAAAATTAAAGCTCACATGGTATATAGCCATAGCATTTATTATCAATAAAACAGAAATTCTTCCCCCCCTCTCTCCCCCTCCCTCTCTCCCTCCTCATCCCTTCTCTCCTTTCTCTTCTCCTCTCTCATTCTACAATTTTAATTGTGGTTCGTTGTATCCTGCATCACTACCCTTGTTCACATTTTGAGCAACTGACTCAAGGCATACAAGGTGTACTGGACAAATAGAGTATCAAATACTTTAAATCTACCCTTGTTCACATTTTGAGCAACTCGCTCAAGGCATAAAGGGTACTGGACAAATAGAGTATCAAATACTATAAATCAAGTTGCTTCAAACTGCTCTTCCAACATAGAAAAAAGATGGAAAAACCTGTTTCAAACGAGTCACAGGCACAAAGAAATTTTTGTCCCACAAAATTAATGAATTGCCACAATCCAAAATCCCATCAATTAAGTAATATCAATTTATATACACCCCAAAATTAGAGAAGATCATGGCATGTTTTTCTAAAGCAAGGAGTCGAAAAGTCTAAAAATTCTTGCATCTCAAATAACATATCACAAAAGAAAAAGTGAGATACTAAGCTATATATCGTATTTTTCCTCTAATTTGCTCAATTACATGTTCAATAACTACGTTATAAAGCGTGAACCAACTTGAAATGTTTACACTAAGAAGCACCTTAAGCCAGAAGGTTTAAACCATCTCAAGAAAAATCTGACTCTACAACTCAAAATCTGTGCAGCTGTGACTTATACAATTCAGCGTACATTCTTCTTAGATTAAGTTATTCTCAATCAATCACCAAAATATTCACTTAGTCAATGGTGATTATGATCAATTATGCAAATTTTCATCAATAAACAAAATTCTCAAGTTGTCGAACATGGACCAATGAAAATTCTATTAATAGTTGAAACTGGGAACTTGATATGAGAACTGCAAATGTATAAGGAACACCATCATATTGATGCATTCAAGGCACAAAACAAGTTTTAGTAAAAAAAAATGTCTATTTTACCTGATTTGGTTGAGGGCAGTCAACCATGAACCCAAGCAAACACTGAACATCCTCCACAGCCAAGGACGGAGGAGCTGCCACAACTAAAAGTTCAACAACCACTAGTAGTTCATCAATCAAAGCATTCACCTCACCAACAAGGCGAGCATCCTCATTAATAGAAAACGTATTCACAGAGTCACTTTCCCGAATGGACCAGTAGCATCGCCTGCAACCATCTAAAAGTGTCTGAATAGCATTAGCATCTCGCATGACAGACGACTCGGTGAATACCATATCTGCAAGTGATGACAGAAGCTTTTTTTGTAGTCCATAGCTACATAAACTCCAAATTTTGAGATCAAGTAACAATGTACTAAAAAGCTGCACTTTGAGT